ACTGTTCAACAAGGCAATATCCGGAAGCCTGACCATTCCTGACTTCAAGCTCTATTATAGAGCTATAGTCCTAAAAACAGCTTGGTATTGGCACAAAAACATAAAGGTAGACCAATGGAATCGAATTGAAAACCCTGATATTAACCCACACATGTATGAACATCTGTTTTTTGACAAAGAAGCTAAAAATATACAATGGAAAAAAGAAAGCATCTTCAACAAATGGTTCTGGCATGACTTTAGGCTGGCATGTAGAGGAATTCGGATAGATCCATGTTTACCGCCATGCACAAAAGTTAAGTCCAAATGGAAAAAAGACCTCAACATAAATCCAGCCACACTGAAACTCTTAGAAGAGAAAGTGGGTGGTACCCTTGAACGAATTGGTACAGGAGACAGCTTCCTGAACATAACACCAGTAGCACAGACAGTGAGATCAACAATTGATAAATGGGACCTCCTGAAACTGAGACATTTCTGTAAGGCAAAGGACACAGTCAGCAAGACAAAAAGGCAGTCCACAGAATGGGAAAAGATATTCACTGACCCCACATCTGACAGGGGACTGATCTCCAAAATTTATAAAGAACTCAAGAAGCAAGTCTCCAAAACACCAAAGGATCCAGTTAAAAAGTTGGCTGCAGAACTAAATACATAATTTACAATAGAGGAGTCTAAAATGGCTGAGAGCCACATGAGAAAGTGCTCAACATCCTTAGCCATCAGGGAATTGCAAATCAAAACAACTCTGAGACACCATCTCACTCCTGACAGAATGGCTAAAATCAGAAACACCAATGACAATTTATGCTGGAGAGGATGTGGTGAAAGGGGAACACTCCTCCACTGCTGGTGGGAGTGTCAACTTGTGCAGCCACTTTGGAAATCAGTATGGAGATTCCTCAGAAAAATGGGAATAAACCTACCACAAGACCCAGCAACTCCACTCTTAGGCACATATCCAAAACATGCCCATTCATACAACAAGGATGTCTGTTCCACTATGTTCATAGCAGCATTATTTGTAATAGCCAGAACTTGGAAGCAACCTAGATGCTCCTCAACTGAAGAGTGGATAGGAAAAAATGTGGTACATTTACACAATGGAGTATATTCAGCAGAACAAAAACAATGGAATTCTGAGATTTGCAGGCAAGTGGATGGCACTAGAAGAAACCACCTTGAGTGAGGTAACCCAGTCACAAAAAGAGAAACATGGCATGTACTCTCTCATATATGGATTTTAGATATAGATCTGGGGAGTGCCAGCCTAACAATCCCATGGCCAGAGAGTCTGGGAAACAGAACGTTCATTCAGTGGCTGATGGAAAAAGAGGCAGACTCCCATGTCTAAGCACTGAGCTGAACTCAAGAAAGCCAGTAACAGAGAGGGAAGACTGTTAACCAAAGGGATTAAGACTGGGCTGGTTTAACCCCCAGAAACTGCTGACCTGACAAGGGTTAGCTCTTGAATCCTAGGCTGATGCCTCGGAATCCAGCATGGGACTGATCAAGGCCCCCTGAATGTGGGTGTTATTGAGGAGGCCTAGGTAATCTATTGAGCCTTGGGCAGCAGATCAGTTTTTATCCCGGGTATACTAATGGACTTTGGACTTGCATCCAACAATTTAAGATGCACTCTCACCCTGAACTCTTGGGGGAGGGTCTAGGCCCTGCCCTGGATGAAATGACAGACTATGGACACCCCCATGGAGGGCCTCACCCTCCCTGGGGAAATAAGGAGATATTGGGGCGGTTGGTGGGAGGACACAAGAGGAGGGGAGGGTAATGGAGAGGGACCTGTAATTGACATGTGAAGCACCCTTGTTTCTAATAAATAAATAAATAAATAAAAGAAGTGTAGAACACATATAAAACCTGAAGGACAATATATCTGTAACCTCAGCTTACATATATGAAATTCTCAGAAGATACACTTAAATAGTATATAAAAACAAATCATCAATATTGTTCAATTTCAAGAGTTGATTCCACCAAAAATTCAAGCACTAACTTATTTGAAAAATAGAAAATATTCAACTGCAATTTGTAAACAAAGCAGAATAACATACATTATAAAGAAATTAATTGTTCATGAACATAACAGATTTCAGATCTTATGTTGTATGAGTAATTATGGAGGGTAAGAGCTTATATAGTCAAAATAGAATTCAGTGGCTTAAGGACTTTCCAAAGAAGTCAAGATATCTGTCAATTTTCATATTATATCAGTATAAGAGCATCCATAAATATTTTAAACAATGGATACTTCTAACCAACTAACCCCATTTTCCTTGTGGATCAGATTCCTAATCTGTGATCTAATTTAGTATATAAAAGATCATCAGACATCACTATATTCTTCAAGAAAGTAATACAATTTGGGTCTCTATCTCTGTAGAGACATACTGTGCCTCCTCTTTTCCCTAGAATGTTTTACATTTTGGATACCAATGGTTAGCTTAAAAATGGCTTTTAGGATTTATTTTTTCATTAGTAATGAAAAATATGTAAATGACTTATAAATATCCAACAATTCACAGCATAATACTGTAATTAGTATAGGTATTAGAAGAGCTTAGTACAAATATGGTTAAAATAAACTTGAATGATTTCATGATAGAAAGTAGACTGGTCAGCCAAATAATTGTCCATTTGCTGCCTTTCTAATTTATTTCTCACAACGTACTTCGGTTTACCCTATTTCTTTCCTTCTGTCTTAAGATACATTGGGCATGTATGTGTGTGTAAAAGTTCAGTTGCATGCACATGTATGTGTGAGTGCCAGTATCTTCCTTTCCATCTCCTGCCTTAATATTTTCAGAAAGAATCTCTCAGTGATCCTAGAAATTCCACCTTCACTTGGCCTAGTTGGCCAACCAAGCAGCCCAGCACGATCCATCTGTCTCTGCTCTGAGCATCATGGTTGCAGATCCACACTATTTGTGTGGGCTATTTGTGTTCTGTGGTCCTGAAATCAGATCCTCATGCTTGATAAACAAGCACCTTCCTGCTTAGCCATCTTGGCCGCTTCGCTCTCTTTCTCCATCCTCAAAATCACTGTGACTTCAGTATTATTGAATCTCAATTGCCAAAGCCCATGTCTTTTAACCCAACCACCTAAAGCGATCCATAAACTTTGCATCGAATATGGTAAAATCAAATAGCACTGAAATTTTATGCATTCATATTTCATTACTTAAATTTGAAAAGTAAGTAATTTCAAGAAAATTTGTGGTTTGAAACATATGTTTAATTTAAAATACACATACACTTATACACAAGAGGTAGAAAGTACAGTTAAGTATTAAATTAAAAAGATGAATTTGCAAGCTAAAACTTGCATGTAGTTATTTACACCTATAGTAATTTTTCCTTGGTTTGATAACATGTGGATATTTGAAGATCATGCATGATATTTTTACAGACCTATTTTCCTTTGAAGTGCCCTTGCTTATCTCAGGGGGAGGAATATGAGGTGCATAGGAGCTAATTATATTTTTATGTTTTGAAACTGTTTTGTTAGTCACAGAAAGCATCACATTTCTTCTGTTTCTCTTCAAAACCTCCCTTATATATTATTTAATCTGTAGATTATCTCAAGTTTTCTAAAGTGAATGTATCTTTTCTCTTAATTATGTAAACTTAGGATTTAAAATAATGCAAGCTGGAGGAAGCTAATACTGAAAGCCAGTGATTTAAAAGAAACACAAGATGAGTGGCTGCAATAATATGAAGGATGACGCAGAAGGGAGAAAGCACAGGTAAATTTGGGCTGATTTCTTCTTTTTTAGGCAATATTGGGTCATAAGAGAAACTGGATGGGGATGTTGCTCTTGCTTAGAACCAGACATTGGGAAACCTCTGTAACAAATTATGCAGCAATAAATTACAAAGCAGTTAAAGGCAATTTGTAAAAATTCTTATTTTATATAACAAGCATATGTCACATCCATCCTCCACACAGAATGCTTACTGCTCAGAGGTTAAGTGAGCATCTGCTGTATGTTCTATATAATTTTCTATGTAGTCTCATTTTTTGAAGGAGACAAACCTTAATGAGAACATCTTCAGAGTCATAATATGAGACAAAAACAAAACATGTAAGTTCTTTCCAAGTCTGTTTATATGCTACTAAGAACATGAAAAGGAGCAGCTGCTCAATGTTTTTTATAAGTATATTAAAACCCTACCATTCACCATGTGCTTAAATTAAATGTACTTGTTGCCCTTCATGTAAAAAAGCCATGGACTCTGACGTTACATAATCTCTGTAAAAAATTCATGCAAACTACTTATTAGGTCAGTTGAGGCTATACTTCTGGAGGTATGCATACAGTTTTAACAAGAATTTCAGACAGAGTTGGCTAAAACTAAATCAGCAAGTTGTGGATGTTACCCATTCATGAAATCTTTCCATTTCAAAGCTGAAAATATTAAGGTGCTTCTTACTTATACTATTGACCATATGGGACAGAGTAGTTATGTATATTCTTTTAGAATTAAAGGATCTCACTTCATTGACACTGTGAAAATAATGATACCTAAGTTCAATAACACAGTCCATATTTTAACATAACTTCCCATTTTTTAATCCATCAAAATAAAACTTTTTAAATCTATATTGAAGTATCAGTCAAAAAATAATTATGTTTTCAAATTTGCCTAGTATATTAAGATTAATTATTTTATAATACTGCATATAGAGAAGCAACTGTGCAGAACTGTTTTCCTTAAAGTACAATATCAGAGTTGCTGAAGCCAATATTGTAATATGAAATAATCAAATTTTGCTAAGTCTAGAAAATGTGTATTGTATATAAAGATTTTTCTCTGGACATACATATATATATATGTGTGTGTGTGTGTGTGTGTGTGTGTGTGTGTAACATATACAATATATATAATTCATTATCAAATTTAAGTTAGTGTGTATTCTTGTGCATTGAGAATTTGTTATTAAATAGTACTTATATATATAAATACCTCATCTTCATTACCTTGTAAATATCCAAAAATCCACACTGGTGATCAAATCTGGTGTAGAGTTCGTTGAGCATGCTGATCACTTGCATGGGAGTACACTGGGCACATATGGCTGTGAAGCCCACAATGTCTGAGAAGAGCATGGTGACATCATCAAACTTTCTGGCCTGTACTTGCTGTCCTTGCCACAACTGCTGGGCTACATCACCAGGGAAAATGGAATACAGCAGATCCACTGTCTTCTTCTTCTCTTCTTCTAGGGCCTGGTGAGTTCTTTCTAAAGTGGCCTTTAATTTATCCATCCTCTTCTTCAAACCATCCTGGGCCTTTGCTTGCTCTCCAACTAAAATGACATCTCGGGTAGCATCATGAATAGGGATGTCTGAGAGATGTAGTCCTCGGCCCATAAGCTCATCCAACTTGTCCACACATGGAGAGCCCAAAAACAAAATGGCATTTGATTCTGGAACATGGATCATCTGTCCTTTGATTTCCATCACCTGTGAAATGGACATGAAGTTTGATTAGTCTTCCTCATAAGCAAGTCAAGAAAATAATACATTGCCTGATGTATTACCTGAGGTACAGAAATGTTCTCTACATAGCATGGAATGTTGTTTTCACTCTAGCACATTTTCGGTTGACCCAAGGTCAATATAAACTTCATGGTTCAGAATAGAAATAATTGTTTTGCATCTTATTATAAAGACAGTGATGGAATACAAAATGAGATCAATGAAAAAATGAAAGAGGAGAACATTTTTGTAGAATTATTCCCAGATTCATTGTTGAACTGACTTATGAACAAACCCCAAAATCTTCATCTTAATAATAACAGTATCAAGATAAATTCACATGTCAAAATACCAGTACTTAACTGTCATTAAAATAGAATTGTTTTCAAAAATTAAATCTGGGAGCTTAAGATGAGTCATAATAATTATTTGGCTTTACAAACAAAATTTTTGAACCAGTTACAGTACTTGGGAAAAGTATCAGTCATCACAATTACTAGAGTCATGGGCAATTTTGTAGGCTTAGAAATAAAGAATTTAAACCAGGGATCTGCCATTAAGTCATTATTAGCAGAGAGTAGCATATCCATAAAGCAAAACATACCCAACAGATATCAAATTAGACTAGCACTAAAGCAGTTAAGAAGATAGAGAGCAGAGGAAAATAACATAATTCCATCCTTCCTTTTGTGACTTTTCACAAATGTCAGGGAATTGACATTTAATAAAAAAAATACTGAAACTAGGGTTATCCTACCAATCAGTTTCGAGTCCAACTGAAAACTGGAATAGTGGCAAAGTGCATCCATAAGATATAGGTTCCCTTAGTTATTTGGGTTAGACCAATATGCTTCAGCACAGCTGGATGTAAAGACAGCTGTTTGTAAGGACCTGGGGTGAAAAAATGGCCAGGTACTGATCAACCCGGAGATTGCCTCTGCCATTCCACATTATCACCCATTTCCACATAGTATATGCTTTTATATATTCATTCTCAGTTATTGTTTATAAAAAGCCATAGGATACCTTATGAAGGTAGATACTGAGAATAAATGCAAGGTAAAATTCTTCGCCATTTATCACAATCTCAGGAAAAGGAATAGATTGAAACCTGGCTTGATGTTATAAGTTTAAAGAAATGAGTTCTCAATGTTCCCTTTGTTGGGTTTCTGCTGTAGTTCAGTATTGCACCCTTTCACTCCGGGTTCTATCAACTGTCATCACAGTAGACACTGAATGTTTTTACTTACTAATATTGTTCTCAGTGATGGAGACAAGTAAACAAACTAGCATTTTCTTTTTCAAGTATTTCACAGTATATCGGGGAACCAAAATTATATGAGGCAGAAAATAATATGGTGAAAAGTCATCCTCAGTTCCATACACCAGGTAGATTCTCAGGTGACTGCAGGCCATGTTTGAAATGATTGTCTGGTGAAGTATTCTTAGTCTGTTTCATACATTTCTGATATGCATTTTGTTGCAAAAGTATTGTTAATGTCAGATATTTCCTTATTGAAGGATAGTGAGGTCAGAAAAGGAAGAAACACATAGTTTATCCTCTCATAGTTTAAACATTCATGAATATTTCGCCTGCTACTGAGACTCTTCTGTTGGAGTGCCTCGTCCTATATCAACATGGCAGCCTTCTTCCATCTTACTATATTTTATTTTGTTATGTTTGTTTTCTATCTCATAGAAACCTGTTCTTTTCTAGTGAGAGACATAGATCTGGAGGTGACTGGAAATGGGGAAGAAATGGGAAGAGCAGAATGAGGGGAAACTGTAATCAGAATACACTTCATGAGAAAAGAAAAAAGTACATTGATTACTTACTAAAAATTTTTAAAAAGCATCATAATTATTTCTAAAGTGCTCACAGTCTTAAATGGTGGCGGCACACTTGGGTCCACCTGGGTTTCACTTTTGATACTCCCTGTCTTCCTTCCTTATTCCTTTCATTCCATCCTCCCGTTTTCTTCCAATTATTTTCTTTTTTGCATTTCCAATCTTAATTTCTTATCCACCCTTTGATTTTCGGGTGCATATGTATTATGACTTTCAGTTTCTTTTGTCTTTGTTCTTCTGTCACTCATCATCACATCACTTAACTTTCCCTGTGCTTCTCCTCCTTGCGTTTCTTTTAATTTCCTAGGTATCAATGACTACATTTCCTGTCATAATTCATCCTTCTTCTTTTTTGACCTCTCCTTCATTTTGACTTCTATTTAAAGAAATAAACTGAGCATACTAGAATAAACCCATGTGTGTTTCCATAAATAATATATCACACTTGACACATGAGACAAAGTGTATAAATATCTTACTTAACATACAAAGAAATTGAGTTGAACAGTTTATAACCATGGTGAGTCTGGGAAGAACTGTGAGAGAAAAATGACCAAAACACATTGTACAAAAATTTCAAAGAACTAATAAATATATAAATAAAACAAAAATATTCTTGATTTACAAGTGGCTATTTGTTAATTTATTAAGTCTCTAATTTCTAAAGATCTTGGAAGAAAAAATATATTTACCCTGCATATTATAGAAAGGTAACTTAGGAAGTCACTGAAACAAATAGCTTCCCTTTTAAATAATATTTGTTGGTGAATTCTTCTCTTATTAAAATAGTAAGCAAATAATTCTGGAACATTTGTGTCACTGGCATAAAAATATCTTCTGTAGTTGAAAAACAATACAAATAGTTATTCCTGAATTATCTTGTTAACTAAAAGTTCCTTAATCCACTATTTGAATTTATTAGTGTAGCAATGAAAAATTACTGCTCTAGAAAAAAGATTTTTATCAGGAAAACAGATATGTAGAAACTGACCCAAATGTAATGTTTATTATAGACTTACTAATATTAAAATTTTATGAGATAATATCCATAATAAAATTAGAATTTTCAAAAATCCATAGAATTACAGAAACTGGAAAACATAAAAAGGGATTATTTCATAATAAGTTGTAATAAAGGATTGAAAGTATTAATTTGGAATTCTAGCGCAATTTAGTATAGTTATAAACTCTCTCAAACCATAGGTTTTGTTACATTTAAAACAGAGATGATGATAATAATCTTGATGAGGATGGTATCTGTAACTAACAAAACTTTTGAGTACTTTCTTTTCGGCTTTTCATAGGATTGGGGAAGCTTGACAGGGGAAGAAGAGGAGAACAATTAAAATTTTAAATAAAATTTAATATGATGGCAAAGAAACTTTAAAGAGACTTCCTTAACAAGCAATTAAAAGAGGAAAAGTTGGCACAGACTGATATAGTAGATACTTTTCTAGTCACATTCTGGATGTGGCCTTGATCATTTAGATCTCTAAGGTACAATATGTGGAAGCAGATAAAGTTATATGTCCTCTGATTTTCAAGAATTAAAGAGGCTTCTATCCTGGTTTTTGATTTACAGAGTAAAAATAACATTCAAGACACTAGTTCTTTTGGAAAAATGAGTAGAAGACACAAAGTTTCCAGGCAAAGAAATGTCTATTCTTTATTAAGGTTCTTGCTCCCACCTCCTAAGCACGTCATTGTTTTGCATGACTATGGTCACAAGAAAGGATGAGCCTGACACTAGTAGCAAGCACTCTTTATACAGGCTGAAATGGCCCTCCTCTATTTCAAGATACCAAGACACTGGCCTGTAAAAATGTATCCTATATTATCTAGCATCTATATTATCTAACATCATTATCAAGGACAAGTTGGAACAAAGATGAATGTCATTACCCAGTGAAATAAATCTAATGAAAGTAATTCTACACTAAAAAGGTTTAAAGTTTAATAGGATAGAGAGTCTTCTAACACAACAGGTAGGCTATCTTGGTCATAATAGAAGGATAAACATTTATATAAGGACCAGGATAATAACAACTTGAAGGAAACAAAAATGACAATCAATTGGTGCCAACAATAAATTGAGTCAGAAGTGGGAATGACCTATTATGAATTTCAAACCTATTGTAGGAGTTAGATAGGATGAATGACACCAGTAGAACATGGCCCACGGGGCTCACAAGGGCTAATAGGGAATGAAGCTGAAACTTATGCGTGCTCTTGGGACTTTTATTTCTACAGTAGAGGGTATTTTCCACCCTCTATATGATGGCATTTACCTTGTCTTAATGTATCTTGTTTTTATATATTTGGTTGTTGATTCTTGGAGGCCAATTGCTCTCTGAAGGAAAATGGAGGTGCATGGATCTGATAGACAGAGAAAGTGGGAAGGAGCTGGGAAGAGTGGAGGGAGGGGAAACCATGATGTGGTGTACAGTTTAAAAAAAGAATCTATTTTCAGTGGGGAAAAATAATCTCAGAACTGGGGGTGGAGAAAGGGATCAGCTGTTAAGAGCACTTGCTGGTATTATAGAGGATGAGTGATGCCCATCACCCACATGGTTGCTCATAACCATCTGTACCTCAGGCTTTAGGTGAATTGACATTCTTTTCTGATGGCTGCAGACAATAGATTCCCATGTGGTGTAAATGCTATACACATTCATGCAAAACACTAATAAATTTAAAGGATTTTGAAAGAGAATTTTAAAGAAATTAGTAAAATGTTTCTGCAGGCAACTTTAATGTCTTTACAAATGAAGTTTGTTTGTTTATTTTTTATTTTTTTATATATTTTATTTTCCAGTTTAAATTTACATAAGAAACGAGGTTGCTTCACAAGTCAGTTCTAGGTCTCTCTCCCGTTCCCTCCCCTCCTCCCGTGCCCTCCATGGGGGTGTCCATAGTCTGTTATTTCATATAGGGCAGGGCCTAGACCCTTCCCCAAGAGTTCAGGGTGTTAGTGCACCTCACATTGTTCTATGGGAGTCCAAAGTCCGTGTGTATACTTGGGATGGGTACTGATCTGCTGCCCAAGGCTCAATAGAGCCTTGGCCTCCTCACTGAAACCCAGATTCAGGGGTTTTAAAATGTCCAGAAAATGCTAGTAAAGCAATAAAGGACACCAA